CCCCAAAACCCCAAAACCCCAAAACCCCAAAACCCCAATTTATTATTAAGTTATTGAAATAATAATTTAGAACGAAAGAAAGGGGAAATGGAGCAGACAATTCAGAACATTTCTAGCTCGGTAGGTACCCAGACTGTCAACCCGTCTACAAGCTATAATTCATACTTACATCAGGGAGAAGCAAGGGGCATAATAACTTTAGCCATTTATAAGAGTATTTAACTTTCCTCAAGTGCATTCTTTGGAAAATACAATAGACAAGTTATGATATGTGGTGTGTTAAATTCTATTGGGCAGTAAAAAGATCTGCATCCTTTAGTGGATGAGGCTGAGTAATGAGTTTTGAGATTTTGAGGCCTTTTCTACCAAAATTATGTCCAGTTTTGGAATCATTTGGAATTTTGTAGTTTACTAGAGGAGAAAATAGGGTGAACATTGGGGAGGTGAGAAGGGGACTTTGGGGTAGAATTAAGTTGTTAAGGTAATTGTTAAAATAAAAGGGTACATTACCATTAGGATTATTTTATTGGCTTATTTGAAATTTTGTGTTATTGTTAGGATTTAAAGAGAATGATATAAAATCATTTTATCTCTCTATCAATCTCCGCATAAGCTTTCTATATTCAATAAATACCTAAAATTACTATTACTCTCATCCAAGCTTAATAAAGTCTTTACAAAAATCTAGCCTAAAACTATGAATATTACTATGAAGCAAGTTATTCCCTCATTAATTCACCCTAATGACAACCTAAATTCCTCTTTATATTGCTTCACAAGGCCAAAACCCCACTTATAAAATGAGCCTCTCTAAATTGACTGTCTGTGTTCCAAATTCTGTAAAGGAATATTGACTCAAACTTTAGACTATAGAATACCATAACCCATAAATATCCCATTTTCTAAGATGGGAAAATTACTTAACTTATTTCTCAAATTCACTTTCTGAAACAAGCTGCCAACCTGAATGCACTTTTACACCCAGTTCTCATTCTTTAGCCTTGCAAGCCCTTATCATTGTCCTAGTTTTGAAAATTGATCATTTAGAGCCACAAAATTGATGAAAATATGAGGGATTCAGGAGACCAAGCTGAAGCTAATAATTGCTTAATAATGAGCGAGATGACAAAGAAAAATATTGATCAAAGTGGTAAGTTGATTTTACAAAGAAGGCATTTGGTTCAACTAACGTAACGCCAGTAATTTGTGTCCTAAAATTGCCTAAATCTCTACTATTGAGTAAAATTATCTTCTTCCACTCATATTGGTTATAGCAATCAAAAGAGAGTTAAATAAAGATGCATCAGTAACTTCCTTTTAACCCTTTAGAACGAGCGTAAGCTTATATCTCTAAGTTGCAGAGAAAAGGATGATACTCAGAATCAGAGAACTCAATAAAAACTCCTTATATAGCAACCTTACTTTTGAAGAGAAAAATAAAATAATCAGATCTAATTTACCCATAAATTTGTACACACATTTTGAAAGGAATCAAGCAACTAAGCCAAAGCCTATTCCTAAGAAGTCTGATATTGATATCATGAAAACTAGCGTCGCAGATTTAAATAAAAGGTAAATTCCCATACGGTTACGTCTTAGTTTTAAAGATTTCAGAAAATAGCATGATTGACTTTAAAGGAATTGGGAAAAATCCAAGATCTATTAGCCCTTTCAAGCGAGGTAATTCAAATCTAAAAGCCATAGAAAATCCTGCAGAGAAAGAAAGGACGGCTAGTGAGATGAAAAAACCTTCTGATTTCAAAGATCTAAATTCATTACCTAATAACTATACTATTCCAGTCAATAACACAGGGTCACAGAAGAGAATGTCAAAGAAAGAATTGATGAAGAGAGCAAGAGCCGGAGGTAGTTTATCTGTTTTAACTTTATAGTATTTACATGATTAATTTTTACAGAAAATAACACCACCTCCAGGCTCCAATATTCCAAGAAAGCTGGATCGGGAGATCAGATTAAATGATCAGACTAGCAGTAAGAATAATAGCAGTATTACTCCGAAAAATCATTCAGATCATGAAGGTTTCACTACTGTAAGCTGACATAAATAATAGCTCCTCTCTAAACTTTGATCTGTAAAATAGTGATTCAAATCAGTCCAAAAATAAAGCATCTAACAAAATTATTGCCAATATCAAGAGGATTTCAAGGCTGTCGAAAGTTTCAAGAGCGTCTAAAAAATCAAGGAGTTCCAAAGTGGAAAACTTTAATTGAAGCTCAAGACTCTCATATATCACCTTAGCCCAAGAAGATGTCTTCAGACCTAAAGATTTTAAAATTGCCGATAAAGTTGTGGCTATCTGTAAGGATAACTATTAATCCATAGTGAAGCAAAAGGCTTCAAAACTGTCAAAAACGAATACATCAGCTGATCCTAAAATCACAGCGTAAACCACTTTTGTTGAAGATTATTATAATGCTTTCTTAAGCCCAAATAAATGGCTGAGGAATCATATTATTTTTATTATCTACAAATACTACAGAGTATTCTTCACTCCTTCGTTTAATAAACTAGCCATTTTTATTGTGTAAATTTTATAATTACCTATGCCTACATTTTATTCGACCAAACGATGCAAGTTTTGTCACTTTTGCAAGAAAAAACAATCAAATTTAAAATTTCCACAAATATTCAAAGTTTTATTTAAAATTTAAACTTAAAGATAAACAGAAATCTATTTTTCGTATAATTTAAGGTCAATTCTCAGTGGAAGCCTTACTAAAATTGGAAATAAGGCAATTTAGTTCATAATTTTGTAAAATTTCTGACAATCTTGGGACTTATGAAGACTATATCAAATTGTGAAAACACAAGGAAACCAAAAAGCCTCTACACATATACGTTCTTTATCCTCCCCTATATTTCTTGTATAAAATTGAGCTAGGAAACTATCAGAAAAGATGAAATTACTAGGGAAGATTATTCAAAATACTCTAAGAATCAAAAAGTATCTCAACAGGGAGAAGAGTAAATATTTGCTTACCAATTTTAGACCAAAAACTTGAGCAAGAAATCGAGAACCTAGTTCCGAATGTCAAGAAGGAACTCAAGTTGTTCAAAAAGGACTTTGCCAAACAGATCAAGGCTATTCATAAGCTCAAATTTCAGGATAAGTACACCCCTTTTTATAATTCTTTAGAGAAGATAATACTTTGGCACTCAATAAGTTGACTCCTGAGTTAAAAGAGCTTATTAAGAACTCATTGTTAGATAGGAAATATAAGAAAGGAATGAAAAGAGGAACCTCCAGGGAAAGGTAACCATCTTTTTGCAATTTTAGGAGAGATAAAAGTTGACACCGCAAAACAGAACGATATTCTATCAATATTTCAAGATGTCCTGAAGATGAAAAATCTGAAGAGTAAGTTTGCTAATGTTCTCTCATTTTGCTTCTTTGAAAAGATTTCATAAATCTCAATGAAAAAGTAGGTTTACCATTATTCCTCCCCAAATATATTAAAATTATATACACTCAAAATAATTCTAGGAAAGACCTAAAGAGCGAAGATACCAAGCAAGTCAGACCTAAACTTAAAATCCCGAACTTCCCTAAGGAAGATCCAAAACCAAAGAGTAAATAATTTAAGAGACTCAGTGTTCACTCCAACAAAGAGAAAAATCAAGAGTCCTGAAATAAAAAGTATTCAAAATTTCCTATTTATTTTAGTCAAAAATAACATTCCAAATCTCAAACAAAAGATGTTTTACCCAAAATCCTCTCAGGCGGAACAGTCTCTTATACGTGACAATAGTAAAGAGAAATTAAAGAATAAGAGGAAAACCCGCATAAGACTCTTCAGCAACCAAGACAAAATAAAGAAGAGGATCAGCAAGATAAAGAAAGGTATCGACCCTACTAATCCAATAGACCAAACCATCAACCAGATTACTAAATAATATCGAGAAATTGACCAATGCTGTCAAGTATAGCAAAGACAAAAGGAAGTCTAAGATCAAAAATAGAAGCAGTGTGCTTTCAAATAGAAGAGTCAATAGGTATACCAGTCTAATAAGTTTAGCCGAAATAGGCCTTCTAAAGTAATAACCCCACCCATTGCTCCTGGTAAAGAACGTCCATATCTCCGTACTATAAAAGAAAGAGTTAAGACTAAGAAAATTTCTAGTGCTGAAATTGATTTCAGGACGAGACATAAAAACTCGATTAGATGTCCTTTCAGAAAACAAAATAAGAAGAAATCGATTAATATAGGAAATAATACATTCCAAAATAATTGTAATTTGCCGCAACTGAGAGCTCTTTCTCCTCAAGCAAATGGTGATTGAATCATTTTAACTTTCTAGCTCCTCAAGTTGGCTTAATAAACAATGCTCCTATTGTGAAAAACCCAAAGGATACTAGGCTTTTCAGAGCAAGGATTAGAGTAAAATCCCCAGAGATAAGAATCAAGTCTCCTCACGAAATGCGCAAGAAATCAGGATTTGCAGGTTAGAGTATACATCTCATAAATAGTCCCTAAAGTATCATTAGAAAAGCCATCTCGAAAAACTAGAAACAAATTCTCAACCTCAAGTAAGGCACCTCTACTCTAACCTGTTAGGACCTCTTGCCAAGATCAGAAATGCAAAGCATTGTAATCAGAGACTCTCAAAACTAAACAATCGGACAATCCCTGCAAAAAAATAATAGAATTTCTCTTCTTCAATATTATATTAAACTTCTGGGGTTTTGGGGTTTTGGGGTTTTGGGGTTTTGGGGTTTTGGGGTTTTGGGG